GCTAACTTCCTCTCTGTATCACTCAATATAAATCCTCACTGGGGTGAACATTGAGCATTGGGCTGAATGTTAGACCTTTTAATCAGACATTCATCACTGCCAGACCCTGCGTCCATTACCAGTGTTCTGGAAGCGTTCCCATGTTAAATGTAATTAAGGCTGCAGTGTGGATTGCAGTGCAGTTGATCCTCCCGTCTGTCAGGGGATTACTCTGACTCTCTGAGGAGTGAGCAGCTTCCTGGATGCTATTCATCAGGTGTGTCAGACGGGAGGGAGGGTTTCACTGCAGGGTCATCAGGAAAGAGATGCAGAATTGATCAAGGTTTTCTTCTCATATGAGCTGTCTCTTTCTTGCTGTAGTTTAATAAATGATGACCTGTTTCTCTTGAGATGTTTTGGTTAAAGTCAGATTTTAAGACGAGGTTTAACTAAAGCAAAATGATTAGTCAGGCAAGTCAAACGATGGATGATGGAAGTAGCTAATAAGTGATCAATCTCATCCCTTTTTTCATCTCTGTGGAGAGTTGTGGGTACAATTTGGGCACTAGAGATCAGCAGCAGGTACAAACAGAGTGGTTGAGTTCAAGAGATCTCTAACAGTGATTTGCTTGGTTTGCTGATTGCTATCCTGGCTCCAAAATAGACGAACGAGCTCCCAATTGACATCAGGATTGCAGGAAGTCGAATTCTTCCTTTGCAGACGGAAAAACCCCACCTGCACCTTGGCCAAAACCAAAGAAAAGTAAAACATTAAGGACATTTGACAATAATGCACCACAATTACAGTATGGCTATCCTGCAGGTTTTTGGGTGTTCTGAGTTTGTCTCCTTATGGTTTATTGGCCTTTGGAAAGAAGCGTTAACTTACAAAAATGTAATTTGATGATTGAAATAGATAGAGTAAAAAGAGTCAGCTTTCTCCCTTCTCATCGCTTTACCTACCTCGAAAAAGTGGCGGCAGATAAAGACACATTCATCCGGGAATCAGGAGTTTATTCCAGGTGACATTTGAACATCCTTCCTTTCAGACAGAGAGTCTTTTATTTGAACACCTTATCAACACTGTTTATTTACTTTATTTCCAACATAAAACAGTTTACAGGAAGAAATACAGAGTAGAGTTAAAGGTAGGGTAGGTAAGAATGGAGAAACCAGCTCGAGTGCGCTAGAATTTGAAAGTACGCAGCCGAAAAAAATCTGCCACTTCCTTACAGAGCCCCTCCTCCAACACACACGAACATGACCAATGAGGGCACGAGATAAGTTTGTGCACAGATGGAAGGCTGACAGGCAGGTAGGCCATCCAGTTATTTTAGCCGGGCCGGCTCAGATGATTGGTCGTGCTTTTTACAGCGCTACGGCTTCCACAGATGAAATGTTCTAATGTATTTTATTGTCAAAGCATTTAATGTATTCATTGCTATCGGGATGTTAAGAGCATTCCATGGAATATAACAAGTGTTTCTGAAGTGAATTACCTATCCCACCTTTAAAGGTAATGTAAGAGGAAACGGAATAAATAATCCCTTAAGAACAGTCTCGCCAACCTCTACCTCCAGACAGGTAAATCAATGAAATACAATTAAATGCAAGGCTTCATTGTCATGTGTACTGTATTAGCTAAAGTGTAGACATGTCAATGAAAAACGTAGGTCACACAAATAATGTCCTGCCACAGTATCTCTAACCATCAACAACTTTAAACCCTCCTTGACCAGAGATAAGTCCCTGATTCTGAATCTGCTCCATCATCCCGACTGATTTGTATTCCAGCAGCGAAGGAGGCATTCATCTTCCTCCCTGTCACAAATCATCATCATAAACCCACTCTGATGAGGTCACTGGATACTCGTGCATGCACACACACTCTCCCAAAAAGATGTCAACTTCCTGTCTGGTTCAGTGTGGCTCAAACGGACAGATGTTGCAGAGACAGGACGTTCTGCTAGCTTCAGTAATTAGCATGCCTGGTCCGTGCGCTGCAGTATTGATATTCACTCAATGTCTGCATGAAGGATTCTGTTTGGTCTCGGCTGGCTTTGGCTCAGTGCTTCACTGGGAATCACTTTCACTTTCTAACCTCCCTTGTTTTCTCATCCTTCCACTGCACAATATCTCTCTTTTCTGAGGTTGTCTCAGCTTCTTAAATCATATTCAGGTCATTGTTAGTCACCTTTGCTATGAATGAATCGAAAAAGACATGACGTGCATAAAAGATGTCAAAACTTTTTGCAACATTTTTAGATTCAACACCAAATCAGAGAAAGTTAAGCAGTAGATATAAAACCATAAGTTTGTAGTCTCAGTCTTTCAAATCATATTCAGGTCATTGTTAGTCAGCGTGTTTTTGCTATGATTGAATCAAAAAAGACATGACATGCATAAAAGATGTCAAAACTTTCCACAGCATCTCTGTTAGTATGTTGCATTTAGCATTAGTATTTATAATGCTATATACAGAATGCATGCAGATGACAAAGTGCAAATCAGAGAAAATTAAGCAGTAGATATAAAACCGTAAGTTAAGGATGGAAAATATGTGCATATATCATCGCGTCTTAACTTTTCCCCTATAAGTTATAGAGTTATAGAAAGAAAAAATGCAGATAACACACATGACTATTAGGAAACTTAAAGAGGCCCTATTGTGCTTTTTAGGGTGTTCCCATAGGTTTTTGTAAATGGTCTGCAAAGGCTGAAATCCCTGCGTTTCATCACATTGTACGTGATAGGCTAAGGGGCGGGACATCTCTTAGTGGTTGTCCAATCACAACAGAGCCGGCCAGCTAACCAATCAGATACTAAAATGAACCTGAAGATCAGCACAATAACGGACCGTCCACACAGCAGCGTTAAAAAATCTTGGAACGCTTCTGCCCATTCACTTTGAATGGGGTGACGTCACTTTGCCTCACTTTTCGCCGAACTGCATTGTGGGAAGCAGAGCGGAGATTTTCAGGATTTTCAGGATTCAAAGTTGAGCAATGTTCAACTTTTGAAGCTGAGGTGGAAGCGTCAGCCAATCAAATCCCGTTTATGCAAATCTGACCGTTCAAGCTCTAGCCAATCAAACCGCGTGTATGCTGGGAGAGACATACCGCAGGTCATTTCCTCATATTCCAAAGAATGGAGGAGAAATTAGCGGTAGGGAATCACCCGGTGCTTTATGACCAGTCCCTATTTACCTACCGGGATATAAACCGGAGGAGCCAGGCATGGAGGGAGGTGGCAGAGACAGTGGTATGTTTTCGCCTGTTTGGGGAGTTTATATCCAGTTTACTTCGGGCTGTTTTGCTTCGTATGTCGGGGGCGGGAGATTCATGTGATTGGTTGTTGGTGCCTTGCTCGCAAAAAATCCCCAAGCTTCAGATACGCCCACCTCCAAGATTTTTTTACGCTGCTGTGTGGACGGGCCGTAAGTCCTCTTAATGCCGCAGAGCTGAGATTAACTGGGGTAAGGGTTGGATGGTTGCTATATTAAGAAACAATATAACTAACCTTAGTCTAGTAGATGGGAGTTAAAGTAGCTTTTCCTAAAATGTGGATAAGGCTTAAAAAACATATTTTTCAGTGTAAATGAAGGCTGAATTAATAAGTCAAAGCCGACACAAAGGAAATATGATACTGTATGTATTTCTCCCAGAGAGAACAAGCAGTGATGAAATATTAAGTAACTGGGAGACTGCGAGATCAGAGCTTTGTTCTATCGTTGGTAGTTTGTGGGATCTGTTACTCTGAATACTCAACATGTTTAATTTAGTGGAGCGAAAACAACTTGCATATAAAGATTTAACGTCAGATCATTCCCAGTAAGCAAAGCATGGAATACAATATCTCAGAATAACTCTATATGACTGAGAGACATTTGAGTTCATTGTATTTTTCAGATTTGTATTCATGGCTGGTTTTCAAGCGTATCCTCTATACCAATTTTGATGGAAAATAAAAAGTCATATTTTCCATTTAAAGGTGTTTTCCATCCTTTAGGAGTTACAGTATTTGTTTGAATATCTAAACCTGAACAGAAATATCTCAAAGCTGGTAAATCCAACTCTTATCCACGGTAGAGAAACTAATAACTCTGCAATATAGGATCAATGTTTGCATGCTAACATCTATTGAGACTGAATTGATTGAGACTGGGTGCAAATGGAGAGTACACATTAGATCAGTCTACACACACACACACACATTCCTTTTTAGATTCAACACACACATCATTTCATGCTCTGACCACTCAAAGTAAAGACTCCATCGGGCAGTAAACACTGTTTGATGTTGTCCAACACCGAGTCCCTTTTTAAAGAGGAATTTGAGGCATGGTTAGAGCTTTGAAACATCAGACTGAAACACAATCTGAATGCACCACAAAATAATGTGGAGAGACAACCTTAAAACCATGTGTTAAGGAAGGTGTGTGTTGATGGAAATACAGTCTGGGTTTTGGTTTCAGATCAATTCAAGCGTGGCAGTTTGTGAGTGCTGGTTCTGCTGGTTTATCTGAGCGTTCGTGTTTCCAATCACCCTATCCCAACATCAATTATAGACAGAGGTGGAAGAAGTACTCTGATCTTGTACTTGAGTAAAAGTAGAAGTTTTCCCGGTCATTGTGCCTTTGGATTAACTTAAAAATTGATTTAAAAAAAATGATTATATGATAATGATAATAACAATAATGATAATAATTATAATTATAAATACTATAATAATTCTAATGACTATATCTTAATCATCATAGTTTACATACAAATAGGAAATGGGTGTATGTATGTATATGTGTACATATGTGTATGTATATATAGATTTGTGTTTATCTGTGTGAGTATTTAATTACGGAATTATCATTTTTCTCTTCATCCTGCAACTGGATGACTAACAGGAGAGCTTACTCCGTATAAACGTTGCTTTCTGCCTCCGTTTCTACACATGTTGTTTGTTTTTCGGATGTCTAATTGTTGAAATGGTAGAATACAAAAAATGTCCTTTTTCTCTCCCCCCAGAGAACCACTCTGCTCCTCCAGATGTCACCGGCTACACCAACAACTCGTCCGGCGATGGCATCCAGGTGGAGCGAGCGCCGGGACAGAGACAGACGCCCAAATACGGGAACGCCGAGCTGATGGAGACCGGAGACGGTGAGTCGCGGCTGGGGACCCATTCATATATAGTTATCAGTGTAATGGCAACTTTGTTGTTCCACTATCCTATATTCGTTGTGCCATTACTTCACAGGATTATGAGTGATCCAGACGCAGACACAGATGCTCTCCGGTCCTTTGGTGCAGTTTAGAATGATGTTTATTTCGAGTTTACATTACCAAGGTTTAATGATTCTGTCAATGGTTGTGGTATCTGTGAGCATCTATAGATCGGTGTGCTCTTCCTCCTGTGTCCTCTCTCTTCCGCTCACGTATGACCCCTTTTATACACCCGGTGCAGCTAACCCCCACCACCAAGTGTTCAAGATAATATTGCACTATAAATATAAATAAACTGACATGCCAACCACACCCATACAATGGCTCCTACATTCAGACCGTCTCACTTTTGAACAAGTGTTCGTAACAAGGTCGGCCTGCATGAGAGTCTATTCATGTCTGATCAAGTCCTGTTACGACTAACTTATCATCCTCTTAGTGTAGATACGTTCCTGCAGACTCTTCAGAGATGACTGACTCTGCTGGTTTATAGTTCCATATTTCTTCCTATAAAGGGAGATGAGGCAGCAGAAAGTGTGATGATGTTAAAGGTCCCCTATCATACTGTTTTTCATCAATATATTACAGGTCTCAGATATGAGCCTGTCTCTGATTGGCTGAAGTACAAAACAGATGATTGCAGTGTCCCATAATCCCCTCAGCCCTGTTTCAAAAGCTGATGCTGTGTCTGTAGCTTTAAATGCTAATGAGCTGCTGCTGGCCACGGCAAACGTGCGTTTACAGAGTTTTAAAGTACCCCGACTTTTCTTTATGGACTTTTTTACAAACCCTCAGTTTCATCTTAAACTCACCAAGCTTTTCCCACCTGCTTAAACATCTCTCTGCCTCTCATACCTCCATCCCTCCTCTCTGAAGTGAAATCAGCCCTAATGAAAGAGTAAAGTGAGGCCTCCTCTCATACGCTGCTTTTACCTCAGTGTCATGTTTAGCGGTCGGCTCCGTTATAATTGCTCATTGGAAGAGAAACGTGACACTTTAATGTAGATTTAAAACTTGTGGATGAAAAAGATCCAATCAGGAGGAAAGTGACGGATACTTCAACACCTGGGAAAGCTCAATTAGGAGTCTGATCCTGTGTGTGTGTGTGTGTGTGTGTGTGTGTGTGTGTGTGTGTGCAGGTGTTCCCGTCAGCAGCAGAGTCTCAGCTAAGATCCAGCAGCTCGTCAACACTCTGAAGCGACCGAAGCGACCGCCATTAAGAGAGTTTTTTGTCGACGACTTCGAGGAACTCCTTGAAGGTAAAACAAAAAAACATCATGCTTTTATTTTGAAACGTAAAAGTCTGATGCACCTTTAACAAAAGATCTATATTTTGTCTTTAGTAAATAACCTCATGTTGTTAGGTGATTGATTATTGACTGTTGGAGTGATGGAGGAAGTACTCCGATATTGTATATATGTAGAAATACTGGATAATGATCTCCACATCTGACATTTGTATTATTCATGACTTAACTGTGAGGAGAGCATGTGTTAAAATGATTATGCCTACAAATGAAAGGTATTCTATGGTTAATACGTTCTTATAGCAACTCACTCAAATATAACTGCATTTATAAGTGAGTTTACAAACTCGAGAAACTTGGTTATGATCACATTTGTGTCTGTGGCGTGTTTGTGCATCTCAATATACACCCTGGAATATGCTGGTTGGCTTAAATCGTCTGAAATGTAAAAACTTTCAAAGATTCAAAGGTTTTATTGCCTTAAAAATCAACAGAGGTTTTGTTCTGAAAATTTAAAGTCCTCCAACAGTCCTGCATCCAATATACTCAAAGCAAAACAAAGACGTGCAAATGGCACAATGGGACGAGTATAATACCAACGTATCTAAACTCCTCTCATGGTTCTCCTCCAACAGTCCTGTGTCCAATAAACTTAAGATTCAAGGCTTTTATTGTCATGTGTACATAGCTAGTGTAGATATGTCACTGACTTAGGTCACATGCTCCTCCAACAGTGCAACACAATAAACAGATAACATAGTGCAGAATAGTCTATATACAAGTAATTGGAATATTGATATATATGAGTTGTAAACAGATGAATGTTATGGATGTTGTTTCAAAAGTTCCGGTGTTTAACAGTCTTATGGCCTGTGGGGTGAAACTGTCAGGAGGGAAGCCAAAGACACGGCAGCCATCATCACCGGCAGCCATCTTTAAATTGTACAAACTCCTGTGTTTCCCGTTTTCAGTGCAGCAGCCGGACCCCAACCAGCCCAAAGCAGAGGGGGCTCAGATGGAGGCGCTGCAGGGCGAGCAGCTGGGGGTCGTCACCAACTGGCCCCCCTCCCTGGAGGCGGCGCTGCAGCGCTGGGGCACCATCTCCCCCAAAGCCCCCTGCCTCACCACCATGGACACCAACGGGAAGCCCCTCTACCTGCTCACATACGGTAAGAGGGGGGATTATATATATATATATATATATATATACACCTGTATAAATGACTGGAGGTCTTCAGGTGGAGACTGGAACTGCAGCGGGGAATCTTAATCAGTTTGAACTCATAGTACCGTCTTTATTCCAGATCTGGCACTCAATTACACAATGGTGTTTGTGCTATTTGTACTAACACACATAAAGCTCAATATGGTCTTACTTTGTCCATTTGTACTCACTATTTTGGGGCTTTTCTTGTTAAATATTGTTGTAATTATTGCTGTTTGTGCTATTTGTACTAAAACTCGATATATGAACCATACTTTTAGTGTATCATCTGTACGTTAATCCTGAGCAAAGGAGAGGCTTAACTACACAGAGGTTAGGAGTTACACAGCTCATTACACTCTTACTTTTTCAAAAATAATTCACTATTTTGGTGCTTTTTTTGTTAGATATTGTTGTAATAATTATTGCTGTAGAGTTCCCTCTTTTTTATGATTAAGACCGTACCACCTTTTGTGAAATTGGGGGATTTACAGCTGAAGGAAGAAATGTTAAAGTATTTGCATTTAAAGACGAGTATTTTTATACTTTTTCTTTTTGTTTCTACTGAAGAAAATAAGCCAACTTTCCCAAAAATGTAATACATTTAAAAACCGTTAGCAAATCGAAAAAAATACTGATCGAAATGAGTAATTATGTGATCATGAAAGACGTAAACAACATCACAAATGTGATCAGATGTCTGATGCCAGCTTTCAGACAGCTTTTAATTATCACTGCTACAGGTGTGTGTGTGTGTGTGTGTGTGTGTGTGTGTGTGTGTGTGTGTGTGTGTGTGTGTGTGTGTGTGTGTGTGTGTGTGTGTGTGTGTGTGTGTGTGTGTGTGTGTGTGTGTGTGTGTGTGTGTGTGTGTGTGTGTGTGTGGTGTGTGTGTGTGTGTGTGTGTGTGTGTGTGTGTGTGTGTGTGTGTGTGTGTGTGTGTGTGTGTGTGTGTGTGTGTGTGTGTGTGTGTGTGTGTGTGTGTGTGTGTGTGTGTGAGAAAGGGTTAGTGTTTGTGTGTGTGAAAGGGTTTGTGTGTGTGTGTAAGAGCGTTATTACTAGAAATGGGCATCATCTCCTCATCAAGTCTGTCCTTGTTTTTTAAATTGAAGGCTGTGTTTCGTAATGAGTCTGCAATGCCAACATGTAATGGGTCTCAATTGAGATTTCCAACACAAATCATCCAGTCGTTTTTGTTCCACATGACCTCAGATCAGCCAGGTCTCAATGCACTGTTGCAGCATATTAACCAATACGACAAACTGCATTGGACTTCATGAATACTGGAGGATTTGTCTCCACATTGCTTCTGTTTTGTCTGCACATAAGGAGGCTCTCTCAGGTTGATTAAGTGAGGAACCAAACAATGTTTAACACTCGCTGTGGGACGATGATTCCTCTACTGGCAGCCAGACAGAGCGCTAACACATTAGCAACGTGTGAGGAAAAACACATTTCAGGAAAGCTGCTCTGCTACAGAAGAACCACATGTTCAAAATATGAACTGTTCAACCATTAAATATTTAAGAGATTACATATAGATTAAAACCATTGCAATAGGAGATTAAAGGATGGCAACAGAGGCAGCAAAAGAAGCCGCTGGATCATAACTCCTCACAATGGTAACGACACATCATGGATACCATAACTATGGTTTGTGAAGGTGTTAACCTGATGGAAAACAGACGTGTGTGTGTGTGTGTGTGTGTGTGTGTGTGTGTGTGTGTGTGTGTGTGTGTGTGTGTGTGTGTGTGTGTGTGTGTGTGTGTGTGTGTGTGTGTGTGTGTGTGTGTGTGTGTGTGTGTGTGTGTGTGTGTGTGTGTGTGTGTGTGTGTGTGTGTGTGTGTGTGTGTGTGTGTGTGTGTGTGTGTGTGTGTGTGTGTGTGTGTGTGTGTGTGTGTGTGTGTGTGTGTGTGTGTGTGTGTTTGCAGCGATGATGAGGCGATGTGTGCTCACCAGACTGTGAAATGTCTTCATATCTCAGGAGTCCCCCCTCCCCACAAGTAAGGCAACAACATGGTGAGGGACTGTGTGTGTGCAGTGCTGACTCTGAATCTCTATCTTTCTTCATCTCTCATTCCTGTAGCGTCTCTCCCTTTGATGTCGGCCGACAAGGACAAACTTGTTTTGTTTCTTCCTGTCGAGTCTTCCTCAGAGAGAATTCTAATACTGAATTCTCCCGTTGTCCTTAAGCTCAACCCTGGCGGCGCTGCACTGCAGATAACCCTCTGATAATCGACAGGAGAGAGAAACTGTTAACAAAGTTTCTCCCAGTCCCAGAGTGTCACAGGCAGCTTTGATCCTGGGGTTTTCATCTAGGAGGAAATCACGTAATCGATGAAGACGTTTGTGTCTCCGTACGGATCAGGAGAACACACACATCTTTCACAATCTGCATGTTGTGTTTTGATCTTTCTCTTTGATTCGTCCTCTGTGTGTTCTGGCTTTTGTTTGAAGTGTTTTCTGTGAGCTACAATTCAAGTTTTCAGATAAGACAGTGCGGCGGCTACAGGTGCTGTCACGCTACAACGGTCAAAAACATTTCCTTTAGGAGAATTGTGCTGCCGTTTCAAAAGTGATGCAAATATAAAAACACAAATGTTCCAAAACACATCAGATTCAGAATCAGGTTTATTTCCAGGTACGTTTACACATACAAGGAATTTGCTTTGGTATCTGGTGGTGCGAACATAAACAATTACCAGTGAAATGTGAAGATTACCCACCAATGCATGACCATGGTAGAAAGCTAAAAGAAAATAATAAATACCATGTACAGTACTTCAGCGTAAACATCTCCTTATTCCCGCTTTTGTATCTTTTAATTGTAATTTACAATCTGCAAAATACAACAGAAGTCAGTAAACAACAACAAACTCAGTTAAGTCAGGGAGGCGTGTGGTGCAGTGGGTTAGTGCGTTGGTGTTGGGATCAGGGGGTCACAGGTTCAAACCCCACTGCAGTCAGCGGGTGTTTCTCAATCGCGAGTACGCTTGCTTGGTAGCACATGTCTGCCGAGCATCTTGCTTCAGAAGCGAGTCAAGAATACTTCCTGACATTTGGAAAACAAAGAGTGGAACAGGCTAGCAAGTGTGCAGGTGTGCGTCATATGAGAGGCCCCGCCTTACATCTTCCGCCACAGATTTTGGGAAATTGGTCCGTGCGCAAAGCATTGTGGGGATTTTAAGACCGCGGAGTCTACTCATGTGCAGCCTCGATATTTCTCCAAACGGAGTACGCCGGGCTCGGTAGATTTCCAAGTATGCTGGAGATTGGAACAGTACTTCGGCGGCACTCGATGACGTAGTATGCTTGAAATAGTGGCTCTGAAGCAGCTTTACTCACGATTGAGAAACACCCAGCATGTCGTTGTGTCCCTGAGACACTTCACCCCAAATTGCTCCTGTGGGGATTGTCCACAGTATGTAAGTCGCTTTGGATAAAAGCGTCTAACAAGTGACATGTAATGTAATGTAATGTAATGTAATGTAATGTAATGTAAAAAGTGTCCATTCGTTTGGCTCCAAGGTTGAAGTTGTAATCACGCTCACAAAAAACAAACTGAAAGGATTAAACGGTTCATTTCTAACAATGTTAAATAATCCTTAGAGAGAAAAAGCATTATCTGAACTTGCTCTGGCGTTGTGTGAAACATTGTGCTGTATTGTTGTCTTTTTGTGAAACACTGGGTCAGTATTTGACCGTCTGTCTCTCACAAACGAACCCGTTTTTGTTCTCAAAGTCGTTTTCTCGAGAGTAGCTGCTGCTCTGAAAGCGGCGAATATCTAATTTCAGAACAAAAGCACCCTTTTCAGATGAAATTAACCTCGATGATTGGGCCGTTTGCTGCTCCTCTCTTTGGTTTCAGAGGATAAAAGGCTGCTGCTGGGCGAGCCTTTCATGGGTCGGTCGAGTAACGTCATCCTTTAAAAAACGAAAGAGGACCAGACTCGGCACAAAAGCACTCTGATTACAGCTCTGATGTCTCTGCAGTTCAGCGGGGGAGACACAGCAGGAATCCTCTCCTCTGATTGTTAAACATGATTTCCAGATGGAGGGGCTGGTTATCAGCAACAGGGTTCCCACTCTCACTGCTGAATTGTCCTTGAAAGAGGAATCCTCATCCAAAATATGTGTCTGGTCACTGCAGTTATTTCTGAACATAGAGAAAGAATAGTTCTCTGCAATCCATGTTTTTTTTTAAGGTCTTCTATCCCGATACTCATACTTATATCATGACCTGCTTTCACAGGATCTTTGCAAATCAGCAGAGATGGCAAACGTTCACACATCCTTTCCTCAAGTAGAAGTACAGATACTCGTGTTTTAAAATACTCTGGTAAAAGTAGAAGGACTGACTCTTTCCTCAAGTAAAAGTAAAGAACTTTTAAGTAACAACTACTTCAGTAAAAAGTACCCATAACTAGCAGCTGTTTTAAAGAGTACCTGACCCCCCTTTATATTAATAGAACAATAATGTCATTGTTAGCTAATGAATGTTTCCATGCTGAACAACGGCAACATGACAACGTTTTCATTGGTCCCTCTTCTTTAGAGAAGACCAGGAAATGATGGATACACGGATCGTGTTCAAATCAATAGGCACGCAATGACTCTAAATAATAATGATCACGCCACCAAACACACATTCAAACTAAAGGAACCAGCCTGTTTGGGAAATGTAAGAAGTAGAAAGTACAGGTATTTGGGTTCAACATGTAAGAAGTAGAAAGTACAGGTATTTGTGTTCAAAATGTAAGAAGTAGAAAGTACAGGTATTTGTGTTCAACATGTAAGAAGTAGAAAGTACAGGTATTTGTGTTCAACATGTAAGAAGTAGAAAGTACAGGTATTTGAGTTCAACATGTAAGAAGTAGAAAGTACAGGTATTTGTGTTCAACATGTAAGAAGTAGAAAGTACAGGTATTTGTGTTCAACATGTAAGAAGTAGAAAGTACAGGTATTTGGGTTCAACATGTAAGAAGTAGAAAGTACAGGTATTTGGGTTCAACATGTAAGAAGTAGAAAGTACAGGTATTTGTGTTCAAAATCTAAGAAGTCAAAGTAAAAAGTCGTCAGAAAAATAAGTAGTGGAGTAAAGTACTGATACCAGAAACATGTACTTAAGTACAGTAATAAAGTATTTGTGCTCCACTACTTCCCACCTCTGCAAATCAGAGCGAAGGGAAACCTGCAGCAAAGTGGTTCACTACTTGTGTGTCAGTCATATGCTGTATATAAGGAAATGAACCCAACCATTGCCTTTGGACCGCTGTTTTGAAGCCTTTGGTCGGTCGCCATCTTGGTTTTTAGCCATCGTCTTCTTGGTTTTTGGAACCAGAAGTGTCACAAGGGGGGGAGCGAGGTACAACTGGTACTAAGCGACCAAAATGTCAACATTAATTAAGAGAAAACCCTCTGTCAAAGGAGTTAGACTGTGAAAGTCAATCAGAAGGTGGCATGGCATCAAACTTTTTTTTCCCGTCCATTTCACACTATTACGATCCAAAACGTTTCCTCATGTAAAACCCAAAACAAGAGCGTTAGATGTTATTTATACAGCTCTTAAGCCTAACTTACATCCTCAACTTAACAAATTGAAAGATTTATTGAGGTCATGTTCATGATCAAAACAATTAAAACAGCTTTTCTGAGCTGCATGCACAGATATTTGAAGAAAGACAAAATACGGGGTGACCAAAATCACAAAAATCTTCTCTGTTTTATACTCTTACTTTAATACACTTCAATAGATCTAAGCAGTCATTACATTTGGCCTTTTTCCACCAAATAATCAAAGCCTCTAAGAAGATGTTTGCCAGATTTCATTGCTTTCCAAGCTCCCATGGCATCCCTAATAAAGTCTAAATGGAAAGATCCACTTTGAACACACAAATGTCTGTTTTGGGACCCTCATATCTGAATAAATCTATCTCAAAATGCACTTTTTACTAACTGCAGTCACACCTGCTGCTTTATAGTCACTGTTGCTCTGCCTTTGTTGGTCCATTTATATTGTTATTCTCTCCTAACTCTCTCTTTCTCTTTCGGATCCCAAAGCTCTCCTTTTCCTCAATTCATTAGCTCTGACAAACATCACAAAAACCTCATTTAGTGTGAAAAACAATGAGGAATTCACGCTGGACTGCTCATGCATAATATCTGCGTCTGCCACTCTGAATTAGTAAAAAAAAAAAAGGATGGAAATTGATTCCTTTGTTGGGAGCTTTTGCTGCTTTAATGAGCAGAGCCAACCTCGCCTGGCGGGTAAAATGAAACTGATCGGAAAGATTAGATAATATAATACACAGGGGGTATTTTAAGAAGCAGTTACTTTGACAGACATATCCTGTAAAGTGGAAATCGTTCTCAAGCTAGGGTTAGTGATTACGTGAGTTGTCTAAAAACTAAATATATTCGTCAAGATACCAAAAGCCTTTATCACTGTAATTACATAAAGCTGTGGTCTGTATGACTTCCTCTAATGTCGATGTACATGGATCCAATTACCCCACAGTCTGTTATGAGATCATCTCCATACCCCTTCACTTGCAACGTGTTTTAACATTGAGTTTCGTGTCAAAGCAGTAATTTCTTGCATATGGGAACTCTTGATGTGATCCTTTGTTCTATTATGCAATCATAAGAACAAGGCCAGGTTCTTTTTTTTAAACACAGAAATGTTTCCTCACAATTTCTTTGATGGAATGACTCGGAAGTGAGTCAGCATTTTAGCACTTCCTGCCCCCTTGATTCAAAGTCAATGGTTTTTTGGTTTGTTATCCTGTAATAAGGTCTGGGGTTAACACAAGCTAAAGAGATTTTTATTCTACGTTATAAAATACGTCAGTAAATACCTGACTGGTAAATGTAACAATGGTGGTTGCTAAAGAGTGTCTAAATGAGACGACTAAACGTCATCAAGCCCAACATTAGCCGCCTTTAGCTTAGCGGTGGTGACGTGAAGTCATGTGACCGTGCTGTAGTTCCTTTATAGCCCAACATTAGCCGCCTTTAGCTTAGCGGTGGTGGCGTGAAGTCATGTGACCGTGCTGTAGTTCCTTTATAGCCCAACATTAGCCTCCTTTAGCTTAGCGGTGGTGGCGTGAAGTCATGTGACCGTGCTGTAGTTCCTTTATAGCCCAACATTAGCCTCCTTTAGCTTAGCGGTGGTGACGTGAAGTCATGTGACCGTGCTGTAGTTCCTTTATAGCCCAACATTAGCCACCTTTAGCTTAGCGGTGGTGACGTGAAGTCATGTGACCGTGCTGTAGTTCCTTTATAGCCCAACATTCGCTTTTTACTTCAAAAATCATAAGGTGGGGTTGATATGTGGAGATTTTCCTGCTGAACAAAACCTGTAAGTATTATAAAAGTATTATTTTCTCCAATAATCCAATGAAAAAATCCCATTGGAGGGAACCAGGGAGATGGAGCCTTCAGGGTCTACTACAGAAATACGCCATCCCTGCAGCACTGTATTGCTAACCTTCTCCAAAGAACATTGTGGTTTTCTTTAACCCCTCTCTTTAGTTTTGTGATGTTTCATGATAATAATTCTTAACATTTACTTTTAGGAAAACTGTGGTCCAGGAGTGTGAAGGTGGCCTTCAACCTGCTGCACAAACTGGGAACCAAACAGGAACCCCTCGTCAGACCTGGAGACCGGGTACGTAAAACAATAATGAAATAAAACTGATGGATTGATATGGAGGGAACCAGAGAAAATTAAGACAAATATTGGTGTCTAATGGTTGAATGCTTAAAGGTTTGACAGAAAACCTTTGACTTGAGATGTAAATGCTTTGAGACTTTAAAAACTAAAGACCTGGCTGACATTTAACTTAAATGTTGACCTCTTAAAATGCTAAACAAATGTTTAATTTAAAGAGAATTGGGCAGAAAAGAAGACAGAGAAGAGAAAGAGACTGGGTCATTTAATACACAGACTTTCAGTTATTAATTCTGCAAATATATGAATATTGCAATACTTTCAGCACTGTGTTACCTTATTTGACGACAAAAAGTAACTTAAAAAACATTTATTTGAATGAAAATCATCAAGATTTCTACCTTGCAATGTTGTGCAGATGTTGGAAGTCTTTTCCGCTTTGCCTTTTCATTCTGTAGTGAAACAAAATCCACAAAATGTGTCTCTGTTGCTAACAAACTGAGTAAAACATATTTAAAAACATAATGAAAGCAGAGGCTGACGAAAACAAAAAAATATGAGAAAGCTGATTTTTTGTTATTCGGATAAAAGGACTGTTTAACAAGTCTCTTTGCTCCCGTCTTGCATTAAAACATCGAGTAAAATAACCAAAAAAACTGGCGCTTTACTGATATCACCTCTCAAGAGTTTTGGGTACCGGCCAAAACAATCCCCGGCCGACACATGGCCATGACTCCATGTTTTAAAAATGGACACATGTGTAACCCTTCCTTCCTCTCCTGTCAGTATAATCATCACATCGCGCTCGACACATGAAACAGAGGATCACAGCGAAGTGGAAAAAGATTCAGTAATAGTCCCACATGTGTCTGCTCTCCTTCTTTCATCTGTATTTAGAGCTCCATTTCCAGTAAAAAACAAATGGCACCATGCCACTGTGTGTGTTATTTTTCTGCATCTCAGCCAGAAGGGTGTGTGTTTTAATTACTGTACAATTCCTTTTTCCTTCTGTGTCATTAGAGACTTGCTGGATAACAAAGTGCAGCGTTTTGGATATTTGTTTAAGGGGTTGGTGGGGACCAAAATCAGAGCTAAAAGGAGAGTGTAATTTCAGGAAAATCTGTTTAAAAGGACATTCTGCTCATTTTCAGGTTCATATCAGTATGTAGTGTCTCTATTCTAAAGAGTCCTCTCCTGCTGATGTTCAGGTTCATATCAGTATGTAGTGTCTCTACTTTAAAGAGTCCTCTCCTGCTCATGTTCAGGTGTATATCAGTATGTAGTGTCTCTACTTTAAAGAGTCCTCTCCTGCTGATGTTCAGGTGTATATCAGTATGTAGTGTCTCTACTTTAAAGAGTCCTCTCCTGCTGATGTTCAGGTTCATATCAGTATGTAGTGTCTCTACTTTAAAGAGTCCTCTCCTGCTGATATTCAGGTTCATATCAGAATGTAGTGTCTCTACTTTAAAGAGTCCCCTCCTGCTGATGTTCAGGTGTATATCAGTATGTAGTGTCTCTACTTTAAAGAGTCCTCTCCTGCTGATGTTCAGGTTCATATCAGTATGTAGTGTCTCTACTTTAAAGAGTCCTCTCCTGCTGATATTCAGGTTCATATCAGAATGTAGTGTCTCTACTTTAAAGAGTCCCCTCCTGCTGATGTTCAGGTGTATATCAGTATGTAGTGTCTCTACTTTAAAGAGTCCTCTCCTGCTGATGTTCAGGTGTATATCAGTATGTAGTGTCTCTACTTTAAAGAGTCCTCTCCTGCTGATGTTCAGGTGTATATCAGTATGTAGTGTCTCTACTTTAAAGAGTCCTCTCCTGCTGATATTCAGGTTCATATCAGAATGTAGTGTCTCTACTTTAAAGAGTCCCCTCCTGCTGATGTTCAGGTGTATATCAGTATCTAGTGTCTCTACTTTAAAGAGTCCTCTCCTGCTGATGTTCAGGTGTATATCAGTATCTAGTGTCTCTACTTTAAAGAGTCCTCTCCTGCTGATGTTCAGGTGTATATCAGTATGTAGTGTCTCTACTTTAAAGAGTCCTCTCCTGCTGATGTTCAGGTGTATATCAGTATGTAGTGTCTCTACTTTAAAGAGTCCTCTCCTGCTGATGTTCAGGTGTATATCAGTATGTAGTGTCTATACTTTAAAGAGTCCTCTCCTGCTGATGTTCAGACAAAGGAGCCCAATGGAGGGAACACAGGGATATTAGCCTTTGCAGACCATTTACATGCACTCAAACTTATATAACACACTACAAGAGAGCAAAATCATAATAGGGCCTCTTTAAAATGAATTAACTCGTTGTCGGCTTCCCTAAAGTTTGTTGAGTTTGGGTTATTTGATATATCCACCAACAACACTGCACACAAAAGCACATCTGATACATGCATAACCTCCTTTCAAGAGAAACTGGTATTTTAGTCAAGACTTCCCCTTGATCTTACTGAAGTGTTTCTCCAGTCTGACACGTTGATTCTCTGCCGCCTCGAGTCATTTCCCCTCAGCTCTCATATGAAACCTGAACGTCTGCAATGAGAGCTGCACATGTCAACATCAGTCCATCATTACACCGCTCTCTTTCACTCAGAGGCACTTAGCTCAGACTGTATGTGGGAACTATTAAACTGCACTTAGGCCGGGGTTCACCCTTATCATCGCAACATGCAACTGGAGCCAAACATGATCCAACATGGCCGCCAGGAGATAAAGGTCTGATGCTGGATAGAAACATGCAAAGGAAAATATGTTTCAGCTTTCATAGAGTAGACATTATTTAAGGAGAGATTGTAGTGAAATGTGCAGAATGAGCAGGAGAAAGTTATGTGTTGTCGCTTTTCTAAACAAAACAGAGCTCAATGGTTGTTGACATGTATACTTACAAGGTAGAGTTAAGGCTCTTTTAGAACAAAAGGGTCAAAAACAGTGATATCTTTGCCGTTTTTAATTGTTTCTGTTTGAGCTACACCTGTTAGCTGTTTCTAGGGTATACTAAAAGTGCTGCATTGTTGGACCTGCTGCATGTAAATAATCCCTTAAATTAAATAGTGTGTTGGCATTAATACACTGAAAGCTTGACACAAAATGTGCATTGAAATAAAAAGCAAGTTGGTAAAAGATACACAGGTAGATGTAGTTCAGGTGGACAGAAAAAGTTAAATAAATAGATGTTTATTCACTTTTTCTAGCCCCTTTTTCTAGTTCATTCTCTTGTTTAGATTTCAAGGTTTGTTGCTGTACAGTATATGCTGCAGTTCTTTTAGGTTTAACGTGACCTTAGTGTGCCAATACAATGGTTTAAACTGAAATGATCTGAAACTGAGAGAAAGATAAACACAGAGACAGTCTGGATACTAGAGAGTTAAACAGTGTGATGGCTGATGTGTGGACGGAGTAGAAAACAATATCAAAAGGATTTACAGTACAGAGAGAGAGGGAGGGAGACACTAACCAGATCTCCTCTGACAGATTGAGCTTTATTATCCTCTGATAAGACCCATCGTCTGGCGACAGTCCATATCAATGATCATCCACACACACATACGCACGCACACACACACGCACACGCACACGCACACACACACTACAACAAGAATACTGACCATATTGCACTCAAACTCATCTTTGAAGGATCTTTCCCGTGACTATTTCAATCGTCTAAAAAATGTTTATCTTAGATACAACTTTAGTCTTATAATGCAGGGATGCAACCTATGATTTCCTGTGTAACAACACTAACATCCTCTCTCCTGTAGGTGGCGCTGGTCTTCCCGAACAACGACCCCGCTTCCTTCATGACGGCGTTTTACGGCTGCCTGCTGGCCGAAGTGGTCCCTGTGCCCATAGAAGTCCCACTGACCAGGAAGGTAAGAAATCAAACCAATACTGACACATTTAAGATAATTGTTGAGTGTTGGAACGGATTAATTGTGTGTATCAAATGAAAATTAGAATAACGTTTCAAATCAAATATGTCATTAGCCGCCTTTAGCTTAGCGGTGGTGACGTGAAGTCATGTGACCGTGCTATACAGTAGTTCCTTTATAGCCCAACATTAGCCGCCTTTAGCTTAGCGGTGGTGACGTGAAGTCATGTGACCGTGCTGTAGTTCCTTTATAGCCCAACATTAGCCTTCTTTAGCTTAGCGGTGGTGACGTGAAGTCATGTGACCATGCTGTAGTTCCTTTATAGCCCAACATTAGCCGCCTTTAGCTTAGCGGTGGTGACGTGAAGTCATGTGACCGTGCTGTAGTTCCTTTATAGCCCAACATTAGCCGCCTTTAGCTTAGCGGTGGTGACGTGAAGTCATGTGACCGTGCTGTAGTTCCTTTATAGCCCAACATTAGCCTTCTTTAGCTTAGCGGTGGTGACGTGAAGTCATGTGACCATGCTGTAGTTCCTTTATAGCCCAACATTAGCCGCCTTTAGCTTAGCGGTGGTGACGTGAAGTCATGTGACCGTGCTGTAGTTCCTTTATAGCCCAACATTAGCCACCTTTAGCTTAGCGGTGGTGACGTGAAGTCATGTGACCGTGCTGTAGTTCCTTTATAGCCCAACATTAGCCGCCTTTAGCTTAGCGGTGGTGACGTGAAGTCATGTGACCGTGCTGTAGTTCCTTTATAGCCCAACATTAGCCTTCTTTAGCTTAGCGGTGGTGACGTGAAGTCATGTGACCATGCTGTAGTTCCTTTATAGCCCAACATTAGCCGCCTTTAGCTTAGCGGTGGTGACGTGAAGTCATGTGACCGTGCTGTAGTTCCTTTATAGCCCAACATTAGCCTTCTTTAGCTTAGCGGTGGTGACGTGAAGTCATGTGACCATGCTGTAGTTCCTTTATAGCCCAACATTAGCCGCCTTTAGCTTAGCGGTGGTGACGTGAAGTCATGTGACCATGCTGTAGTTCCTTTATAGCCCAACATTAGCCACCTTTAGCTTAGCGGTGGTGACGTGAAGTCATGTGTCCGTGCTGTAGTTCCTTTATAGCCCAACATTAGCCACCTTTAGCTTAGCGGTGGTGACGTGAAGTCATGTGACCGTGCTGTAGTTCCTTTATAGCTCAACATTAGCCACCTTTAGCTTAGCGGTGGTGAGGTGAAGTCATGTGACCGTGCTGTAGTTCCTTTATAGCCCAACGTTAGCCGCCTTTAGCTTAGCGGTGGTGACGTGAAGTCATGTGACCGTGCTGTAGTTCCTTTATAGCCCAACATTAGACGCCTTTAGCTTAGCGGTGGTGACATGAAGTCATGTGACCGTGCTGTAGTTCCTTTATAGCTCAACGTTAGCTTTTTAATTTT